TCTTCAATCCAAGGCAAATCTCCTTGTTCCTCCCTCAAGAATTCGGCCCTAGGTCTTTTGGAGGAGAGAAAATCGCCTCCCTTCTGTTTCCCAAATCGAGCTCCCTCAAAAAGTCCGAAAAAATCGGACTTAACCAGTTTCAGGTCACGCGGTCAGCCGTACCAAGGTTTGGTCCGGCGGACCGGACGTAAAAATCAGACGTTACGCGGCGAAGTGTTCCTAGTTCGGCTGACCAGAAACTGGTCAGCTGCGGACCGAGACTTCAGTGGACTCCCCCCGGCTGACTCGGAGCGTGCTGGCGGACTGGGCTGAGGCAGAGAAATGCTGGTCCAGCTGACCAAAACTGGTCAGCTCCGGACCAGCTGCGCTTCGGGTCTTGTCAGGTCCTCTTCGGTTCGGCGGACTGAGGGGCACGAAACTCACATGGTCCGGGGCTGACCAGTTCTGGTCAGCTCCGGACCGGATGAGTTCTTTTACTTCTTCCTCATCTTCTCTCCTCGGTCCGACTCGATGTGCTGGGCAGACTTGGTCTGCCGGAGTGCATTCCGGTCAGCGGCGGACCAAACGCCTGTTTTCTCCGTTTCTCGCCGAATTTGTGCGTTATGTCCTCGGGGTCCTGACAAAGTCAAGACATAGACCCAAAACCCTAGAATGGCTCTAAAAATGCCTAAGAATGTGTGGAAACCGTTTAGAAACCAAAGGCACACTCGTATAAAATCCAGATAAAATCCGAGCCATCAAATCCCCCAGACTTAAATCTTTGCTCGTCCTCGAACAAATAAAATCAATGAAACACGAAGTCTGAGAAGGATGGTGAGTTAGAAATCGGTGTTTGATGAGTTTCAAGATCCAGTTGCATGTCCACTGCTCAACTTATGGGAGTAGAATCGAATCTAGGCTACTTTAGCTATTCTCTCTTGTCAGCTAAACTTTCCTAAGCATGGGATTTCTATGTCGTCCTTAGTCTACCATAAGAGTAATTCCGACTTCCAAGCACTCTCCTAAACCTATTTACCGTTTTCCTCCTCTAAGATATGTTGTCTCCTCATTTTTTTTTTGTTCGCATTTTTTTTTCTTTTTCTTTTTCTTTTCTTCTTCTTTTCAAGAAAGTACTAGGAGAAGTAATATCCCGAGTTCCTAGGACGTTGAAGTTGACAAGTGTCTCCGCTTTTGCTTTTCTCTAATGATCATGGCAACACTTGTCCCACAACTTAGACCCGAACAGTCGAATTTCGACGCACTCATGTCATCGAATGATTTTCATTAACGATATAGTGACAGCGGAGTGTTGGGATGTATATACTTTCTTCGCTTATTCCTACGACATTCTTTCCAAGAGACTATCTATCCTATGGGAGAAGCTTCGGGAACGGTTTTAGGGAGATATTTAACCTAGGTTCGGTCGGTCCTACTCTTTGGCATACCTAAAGACAACAATATACCCCACAACCTAGAATCGCAAGCATCAAAGAGAGGGTTCGCTATTCACCTATCATCGACAATCTACTCGAACACCTAGAGGTCTAAGTCCAAATCGCTAAGCAATCTCTAAGCAGCTATCACCATCATCTCATCATCGACCAATCTCAACTCAAAACGGTTTATGAAATGCATATGCTCCTATATAATCTAGACCTATATGTGACAAATGCAATGCAAGACTAAGTGATGTCTATATGTACAAATGCAAGCAATGCAAGTGTGGAATGCATCTATAGTGAGAAATCAAATTTTTTTTTTCAATTTTTTTTATATGCAAGTGAATGTGTGAATGCACTCTAAAAAAGGGACTTGAAACGATGTTAGATGCTCAACCCCCCCAAACTTGAATGAGACACCGTCCGCGGTGTCACTCGAATCCGAAGGGGCGGATATGTGGAATAGGAAATTCGGAGCTAAGTGAAATAGGAGGGAAAAATAAGTATATAACCTTGTGTCCAAGGATAAAAGATGCCTCCCTGCATTCCACTTGTGAATGATTCCACATTGTGTATCGTCTCGGTTGCTCGATAATGTTCACCTTCCAAAATCAAAACTCAAAAAGAGAGAAGATCAAGTGAAACTGATATAATCATAGCAAAGACATAAGCAACATCAAGATCACATCATCACATCATGTGTCTAAGTTCCCAAATGCAGAAAAATAAACATGCAATGCAAAAAGGATACTAAAAAGGATATCTACAAGCTCGGGGTGCCTCCCGAGAGCGCTTATTTATGGTCCTAAGCTTGACCGCGGGGTTGCTCACTCGTCTTGAGGATCAAAGAAGCTCATCGAGCTCCTCTCTTTGTCGTGCTCCCCGGGGTTGTAAATCTTCAGCCTTTGCGCGTTGGTCTTGAATGTATCCCCTCCATAACCATATAATTGTATCGCTCCATGAGGGTAGACGTGCATAACCGTGAAAGGCCCCGACCAACGCGATCTCAACTTGCCTGGAAATAGTTTGAGCCTTGAGTTAAAGAGAAGTACCTGATCACCTTCTCTAAAATCCCTCTGCAAAATCCGACGATCATGCCATCTCTTAGTTTTCTCCTTGTAAATTCGGGCATTCTCGTAGGCGTCCAACCGAATCTCATCGAGTTGGTGAAGCTGCAACACTCGCTTCTCCGCAGCGGATTTCCAATCGTAACTCAGCTTCTTAATCGCCCAATATGCCCTGTACTCAAGCTCAACCGGCAAGTGACAAGCTTTCCCATAGACAAGTTGAAAGGGAGACATACCGATGGGTGTCTTGAAGGCTGTCCTATACGCCCATAGAGCATCATCAAGCTTGGATGCCCAATCTTTCCTTGACCTTGACACCGTCTTCTCAAGTATCGCCTTGATCTCCCTATTCGAGACTTCAACTTGCCCGCTCGTCTTAGGGTGATACGGGGTAGCCACCTTATGTCTCACACCATACTTCAAAAGAGCTTCTATGGTGCGGTTGATGAAGTGAGATCCTCCATCGCTAATCACGACCCTTGGCATCCCGAATCTCGGAAAAATCACCCTCTTGAACATCTTCGTCACCACTTTCGAGTCGTTAGTGGGACTCGCCATCGCTTCTACCCACTTAGTGACATAATCGACCGCCACGAGGATGTATTGGTTCCCATAAGAAGATGGGAACCGTCCCATGAAGTCTATTCCCAAAAAATCAAAGGGCTCAACTTCCAAGATGTAGTGTTGAGGCATCTCGTGGCGGCGAGAGATGTTCCCCGTTCTCTGGCAAGCACCGCAAGAGGAGACATATTGATGAACATCTTTGAACATTGATGGCCAATAAAACCCGGCTTGAATAATTTTAGCCGATGTCTTTGATGCTCCAAAATGACCAGCATAGTCCGAAGAGTGACAATGATGAATCACACTCCGGACTTCCTCTTCGGGCACACATCTCCTAAAGAGGCCATCCTTGCCTCTCTTGAAGAGGTATATGGCTCTTCCCAAAAATAGTCCTTGATGTCTCTGAAGAACCTCTTCCTCCCGTTGTAGTCCAACTCCCGAGGGATATAGCCACTGACAATAAAATTCACGTAGTCCGCATACCATGGATCCCTCTCTTTTACCTGGACAACCATCACACAATCATCTCGGAGACAATCATCAATGGGAACTTCCTCATGTCGCTCAATCCGAGATAAGTGGTCAGCCACTCCATTCTCCGTACCCTTCCTATCCCTTATCTCCAAGTCAAACTCTTGCAGCAAGAGAATTCATCTGATCAACCTCGGATTGACATCCTTCTTGGATAGGAGGTACCTCAAAGCAGCATGGTCGGTGTACACGATTACCTTCGACCCGACCAAATAAGACCGGAACTTCTCAAAGGCAAAGACAATGGCGAGTAACTCCTTCTCAGTGGTGGAGTAATTGACTTGTGCATCATCCAAAGTCCGACTCGCATAATAAATAGCATGCAGCTTTCTATCTTTCCTTTGACCCAAGACAACCCCGACGGCGAAATCGCTCGAATCACATATAAGCTCAAAGGGAGCTTCCCAATCCGGCGGCTGAATAATAGGCGGGGAAATCAACGCATTCTTCAGAGTCTCAAAGGCAGCCTCACACTCATGGGTGAACTCAAAGGACACATCCTTTGCAAGCAGTTCGGTCAAAGGCCTCGAGATCTTCGAGAAGTCCTTGATGAACCTCCTGTAGAACCCGGCATGTCCCAGAAAACTCCGGATTCCCTTAACATTTGAACACCTTCTTTTCGGACTTTTAGTTTGCACTTAAGGGGGTCCTCTGCTAACGCCGATATAGATGGTGAGCGAGGTAAGTCCCAAGAAGCTCCTGACTTCCGAAGCAGAAGTCGGGGACTGCCATTCCATGTCGGTCTCGATCTTGGTCGGATCGACCTGAATGCCATGGGTCGATACCACGTGTCCCAGGAATCTAATCTCCTGTAACCAAAAGCTGCAATTACTGAACTTTGCATACAGTAGTTTCTCCCTTAGTCTCCGCAATATCTTCCACAGATGCTCCTCATGTGTTTGCAGATCCGGCGAGTAGATGAGGAGGTCATCGATGAAAAAGAGGACAAATGCATCTAGATAGTCCATGAACACGCGGTTCATCGGTTACATGAACACCGCAGACGCGTTCGTGAGTTCGAAAGGCATGATCACGAACTCGAAGTGTCCATATCTCGTCCGGAATGCCGTCTTCTGTATGTCATCCTCCTTGATCCGAATTTGGGGATATCCGGATCATAGATCGATCTTCGAATACCATTGGGCTCCCTGTAGCTGGTCCAGCAACTCGTCAATCTTCGGTAACGGGTACCGATTCTTGATAGTCACTTGGTTGAGCCCTCGGTAATCGATGTACAATCGCATACTCTCATCCTTCTACTTCACGAAGAGTACCGGTGCTCCCAACGGTGAGATGCTAGGGCGGATGAAACCTTAATCCGCCAACTCTTTCTGTCGTTTCTTCAGCTCGACCATCTCCGTAGGTTCCATCCGATACGGATCTTTGGTAATTGGGTCAGTATCCGGTACCTAGTCAGTAGTAAAACCCATTTCTTCCCTTGGTTGTAATCCCGACAAGTCATCAGGAAAAAGCATTAGAAAACTCCTGGGCAACTAGTTTGTCTTCCAATCTATGCTCTGGTTCCTCGGTAATCGTGATAACTACAAGGAACGCTCTGTTGTCCCTCCTGAACACCTTCTTTTCGGACTTTTAGTTTGCACTTAAGGGGGTCCTCTGCTAACGCCGATATAGATGGTGAGCGAGGTAAGTCCCAAGAAGCTCCTGACTTCCGAAGCAGAAGTCGGGGACTGCCATTCCATGTCGGTCTCGATCTTGGTCGGATCGACCTGAATGCCATGGGTCGATACCACGTGTCCCAGGAATCTAATCTCCTGTAACCAAAAGCTGCAATTACTGAACTCTGCATACAGTCGGTTCTCCATTAGTCTCCGCAATATCTTCCGCAGATGCTCCTCATGTGTCTGCAGATCCGGCGAGTAGATGAGGAGGTCATCGATGAAAAAGAGGACAAATGCATCTAGATAGTCCATGAACACGCGGTTCATCGGTTACATGAACACCGCAGACGCGTTCGTGAGTTCGAAAGGCATGATCACGAACTCGAAGTGTCCATATCTCGTCCGGAATGCCGTCTTCTGTATGTCATCCTCCTTGATCCGAATTTGGGGATATCCGGATCATAGATCGATCTTCGAATACCATTGGGCTCCCTGTAGCTGGTCCAACAACTCGTCAATCTTCGGTAACGGGTACCGATTCTTGATAGTCACTTGGTTGAGCCCTCGGTAATCGATGTACAATCGCATACTCTCATCCTTCTACTTATTGAAGAGTACCGGTGCTCCCAACGGTGAGATGCTAGGGCGGATGAAACCTTAATCCGCCAACTCTTTCGGTCGTTTCTTCAGCTCGACCATCTCCGTAGGTTCCATCCGATACGGATCTTTGGTAATTGGGTCAGTATCCGGTACCTAGTCAGTAGTAAAACCCATTTCTTCCCTTGGTTGTAATCCCGACAAGTCATCAGGAAAAAGCATTAGAAAACTCCTGGGCAACTAGTTTGTCTTCCAATCTATGCTCTGGTTCCTCGGTAATCGTGATAACTACAAGGAACGCTCTGTTGTCCCTCCTGAACACCTTCTTTTCGGACTTTTAGTTCGCACTTAAGCGGGTCCTCTGTTAACACCGATATAGATGGTGAGCGAGGTAAGTTCCTCCCCCCACTTTGTCATAAACGCCCACTAGGGTGGGTCAGCGTTTGTTCCTTTAGGTACTGCTATAGGGCCTCTTAGAGATTTCAGAATTAGTTCCCTAATTCCAATCCCTTAGTTTAGACATTGGGCTTAATTGTAGCAATCGTTGATCTCCATTTAAGCATATAATGGCGATATTCTAAATGTGCCACGTTACACTCACTAAGCCTTCGACGACCCCAACTCGCATCATCAATGTATGGACCTCGACAGGTGAGGATTTTCTTTAGACATGGTTTGAAAACATTTTTCGTAGAAAACCGTTGGGTAATGAGCATGATTCCTTCCCGAGGAAAGAACGTGGCTCTGATACCAAAAGTTTTGACACCCGTAACCCGTGTACAGTATGCGGACTGTGCCACATGGACGATATACAATAAAATAATAAATTGCGGAAGCGAAAATACGAAATCCAAAAAAATTTTAATTCAAATCAGAGTAAGCAACAGAAATATAACGCGGTCAGTATCGCAAAACAACAAATGTCCGAATAGCCATAGTTTAACCGTACAAAATGCGGGAATACAAATCCCGACGTTCCAAATACAAATCCCGTACATGATGCTGCCTCTCTCGGGTCGTCGTCGTCTAGTGCGCTACGCGTAATCCTCGTGATCTGTAAAAACGTAAAACTGCGAGGGCTAAGCACAACTGGTTAGTGAGTAGCCCGGGTTGATCCCGGTCATCCCGTTCCCAGCGAGAAAGGTGATAAAACAATGGCATACAAGAAACAAACAAGTAATAACAACACGTATGTATATCACATCAATCATAATCACACCCGTATGGAGTCCACCATAGGGTTTAGCCATAAACCCTAGTCAAGTCGGCATGACTAGGAGCGCATCACACGCCCGTCACTCGCGTGACGTTGGCCGTCACATCGTGTGCAACTACACGTACACAATCGCACGCTTGTCACGTCTCGTGACCACCGATGTCAATTCCATGACACAACGGAAATACAAACATACCCGTATGGAGTCCACCATAGGGTCCAGCCATATACCCTAGTCAAGTCCATGACTAGGAGCGCCTCCACGCCCGTCAAGTCCATGACGTTGGTCGTGTCAAGTCTATGACACAATAGAAAGATAATCACAACCGTATGGAGTCCACCATAGGGTCCAGCCATATACCCTATAGTACAATCATATGCATCACGGCATCCGGTCCCCACCGATCTACCGTTCAACGCCATGCAATTCTACCCGCAAACAATCACGCAACGGTCACTCGTATCTCAATATCGCACTCCTCACTGTGCCACGCAACGTCTTGGCGAAGGATCGGTTCGATTGATCTCAATCACGAAGTTTTCTCCATTGGTGGGAGCTTGGTTCGCCCATGGTCAAGTCTGATCGGGCCAACCCCGTTGGTCGTTTCCTTTTTCCCGGCCGAAACGAAAATTTATCGTCTTTTCTCCGACGGACCAAAGCCTAATCAGTCCCGGACCAGAGCCCCTTCTCTTCTGTTCCACTCAGCTTCCTTGGTCCGTCGATTTATTGTGAGATAGGTCTGGTCCGGCGGAGCAGGTTTGGTCAGCCCCGGACCAGCCTCCTCTTTCTCTCTTGGTCCGACTCCCTCTTCGTTGGTCAACAAGACCATTTTTGGTCAAAACCAGGCTTGGTCCGCCAGACCAGGTTCTGGTCCGGGTCGGGCCAAGCTTCCTCAGCTTCTTCCCCTCGGTCCAACAATTTTCCGGACATGGTCCGGAGCCGACCAATTCCTGGTTCGGCGGACCGGAACTGGGCACTTCGTCCGTTCGCGATTTCAGGTTTCTGGTCCGACTTCGATTGCTCATAACTCTCTCATCTCTTATCCAAATCGCGCACCGTTTGTCTCTAAATGTTCATTGGGATGTCCTCTTTAATATCCATATAATAGATTATTTAACACGCTGAAAAATGATTCGAAATCCCTGTGCCTCGTGAACTCGCAACTCTGCAATTTCCAGTTTCTTTATTTGTTTTCATTCACTCGTATCTCCCTCGTTTCTCAACCAAATTGAGTATCGTTTGTTTCTAAATTCTCATTGAAATGTCCTCTTTCAAACCCAAACAATAAAACATTGCAATATCACAGTCACAGGATGGAAACGAGAGTACACAGAAGCAACTCAAGCCACTCACCTTGTTCTTGAGTTTTGGTGAGTTTGTCCGAGCTTGTGCGAGTTCCTCGTGGCTCCACACGATGTGAGACGCTCCAAGGAACGTCTGGGCACATCCCCCTTGGTCTCCTCGAGCTCCTTTCTCTCTGGTTCGTCTCCTTTCTCTCCCTTTCTCTCTCTTTCTCTTCCTCCTCTGTTTCACCCGAAATTGGCAAAGTCCCAGGTTTGGGAGATGTTTATGGCGCGGGAGAGAGGTCTAATGGGCTCAATTCCAGGCCATAGACGAGCTTGCAACGTCCCCGAGGTGTTAGGCGATGGTTGGACGCGCGTGGGACCCATTTTCCGGCGAAATTTCGCATCCCAAGACTGCAACAGAGCAAGTTGTGTTATGTCGCTTCTCGGTCCGCCAGACCAACTTCTTGGTCCGCCGGACCGGGGTCAGTTTTATTTTTTTTTTCGAAACTTCTCCCAGTCCGCTCAGTCTACTTTTGCTCCGACTGGGTAGGTTGGTCCGCCCCGGACCAAATCTTGGTCCGACGGACCAACCTTGTTTTTTTTCTTTTTTTTTCAATTCTTCCCGATCCTTTCTACGCGTAACGATCCTCGTGCCTCTCCTCGACATTGTACTATTTATTTTTGGTGATTTCATGACATCTCTATTTAATTATTTATTTTAAAATAATTAAATATTCAAATAGGGTTTCGGGGTATTACAGAATCTTATTCCTAAGAGATCGATTCTAGGGTTTGCGCAAGAGATGTAAAACAAAAATTTAATAAAACCCTAGAACCATGCTTCTATGATTCGTAGAAACGTTAGAACGCTTACCTCAATCGATCCGGGGCCTGTATCAATTGAAGAATTCGTCTGATCACGAAAGGGAGGAAGAATACCTCGCCCTCTACACGTATCCACACCTTGGGATGGATTCCAACGGTTGGAACTTATCTACTAGGATCCGAATCTGCTATTCGGTTTTGTGCTTCGAGAAAAAGAGACTTCAATCACTTTCCAAACCTCTTGGATCTCCCAAAAAGTCTGTAGAAAAGTTCTAAAGTCGGCCACCCCAATTAGGGTTTTTAATCTCCTTCTTATAAGGTGATTCAACCCTAATTTCGGTTTAATTTTTGAAAAACATGAAGCCCAGAACGGACGGTCCAGAAATGGACATGGCTCGGATTTTATCTGGATTTTATACCGAGTATGCCTTTGGTTTCT